TGATTATTGTGGGAGGTGTTGAGGGACTTGTTGATGTTGTTGTATTTATGTACCTGTGCTATGCCCCTATTGAAGCCCAATAGGTGGCTAGTAAGAGCTCAGGCTAATTTACCTTTGGCCAGGTAATTTAGCACCGAGTGAAGGCTACGATTCAAGGTTAATGGAGGGAGATAAAAATAATTATTTATTATGTATTATAATATTTCTTATATTTTTGTTGGAATTATATGACTGTTATTTTCCTACTTAGCAAGCACACATTTAACTATTTGTATGCACTATCATAAATTGACATTGGTTACTGAAACTTTTAAGTTTCATTATGTGGTTAACAATTTTCAGAAGAGCTATGAGGGGCGCATGGAAGAGTCCCTGAGGCTTAGTCGCATCAATCCACTGTCTCTTTTGAGTATTTGATTTATGATTTTTAATATGTTATATTGCCAATACTAGGGCTTTTTGTTTATTGAAAATTATATAAATGTAATAATATAATCATGCCCTTCAAACTATTTCTACTTTTGGTATACTTTAAATGACTGTAATTTTAATATCTGATTTATTTTAAATGGTATGAAATGGCATGATTATAAGGCCAAATATTTGGCTTATTTTAAAAATTGATTAATTTATTTATTTTAATTGTTGGTTTATGGTTTGCACTTGTTAGGAGCATGATGATGGAAAAATGAGATTTTAGCTTAATGCATGTGGGAGGTAAAAAAATTATCTAAGATGTTGTATCATGCAAGCTTAAGCTAGCTATAAAATGTTTTTATATTAGATTTATTAATATAAAATATATTGAGTGTCTGTAACCCAACTATAATTGTAAATGTGTATTAGTTGTATAAAATTATTTTGTATTATTTGAAAAGGGTGATAGGTGGTTGTAAGATTTTAAAATGCATAACTATTTCTATTTTTTTTATTCTATCATGTTCATCATATTCTTAATTCTAAAGAGAATTTTTTATGCCTTTCACATTTATTTTGTTTTTAATTTTTTGAGATCCCAAATTTTAGAAATGACAATTTAAGGAGTTAAATTTTACTTACCACAATAGTACTTATTTATCTAGTTTAATTTTTTCTACCATGGTAGTTAATTTAAAAGGTAAAATATTTTATAAAGTTATGTTTTGTCGTTTCTTACCATGATAATATTTTAAATTATAGAATTGTTTCAAAAAAATATGGGATAAGTTAATTTTTGTTTACCATGGCAGACACTTTTCTACCATGGTTGAGTTAAATTATTTTGGAAAAGAAATTTAAGATGTTACATCTTGGTATCAGAGTTTAATGTTTCAAGTTTCTTGTAAATTGCGAAGTTGTTATGCATTAACTAGCTTATTAGCAATATACATTATTAAATCATAATACTTTTTCATTATTTTTCTTGTTTTCATATTAGTATTGACTTAATTATTTGTTCCATCTTTTAAGAAGGGGGAGGAGTGTCCAGTACAGTAAAAGTCTTAGGGGAGAGATCCTAGGTAAGCTGGGGCTGTTACATAGAACTAATAAACTTAGTTTAAAACAATTTAATGAAATAATAAAATATATACTTAAACTGACAGTAAAGAACAAGTTCTCAATCATACAATCATGAAATTTAAACAACGCTAATGGAACAATATAAATTTATCAAAATTTTTGCTGCTTATAGAATATAAAATTTTAAATAATGATACAATTAAGTTGAATGCTTTTAAAGAATTAATATATGAATGATAAATTTTAATTTTAATTTATGAGGGTTTTATGAGAATAAATAACATGTGTGGGCATACAGTTTATAAGGGTAACCAATAAAGTGTGAGCATATAGTTCATAAAGGTAAATGGCACAGAAATCGAATGAAAAGAGAAAACTCTGAATTTTTCTAATCTGAGCTCTCTTACAACAAAGTGAGTCCTATTTATAGTGTTAGGACTCTGAACGAAAACAAGTAATCAGCTAAAACATTACAAATGTAAATGCTAGACGTTTTATTAGTTTAATGAAGGGTAACGGAACAAGTTTTGTCTTCAATTCTGTAACTCTCGTGTATTAGTTCTTTTGTCCGTTTTAGTCCATTTCAGTAAATAACAATCAAGAGTGGATATAAAGTTCATGAGGGTAAATAATTGGTCAAGCACAGCTAAGAGCCATGAAACAAGAGCGGCAATAACCATGAAACAAGCATAGGCATGAAGTCTATGAAAACAAATATGAGTATGATGCTCATGAATAACTATCACTCCATTCCACGTGCATTGGCCATCACATGAAACTAGCACCTTCTATATGCACTCTACTAACTAGGTGTACCATAGCATGTCAAGGACTAATAGAACTGCTATTAATATCCAACATTTAAAACTTAATCCCCCTAATTAAAATCAAGCATGCATGGTGCAAAAATAAAAATTTCAAAAATTTCCTCTTTCCATTATACTATTCAACTATCAATTTCCATTTCTTACATTCATTTTCTTATTCTCTATGCATGAATTATTATTTTAAAAATTTTCACATCAAACATAGAATTTAGTAAATCAGTTACTTATAAGAAATAATACTGTTTATACGATATTGACTTCAATCATTGTTTAATAATAACATAAATCATAAGGAAAATTAAGAAATTGTTATTTGTAAAACAATTACTATAAAATAGAATTAGTAAAAATGTTTATGCAACCTATAAAGAATAACATTAAAATTTAAATAAAGGAATCTCTTACACATTTTCCAAGAATCTTATTTGAAACATTACCTACTCACCTGTCTAAGAATATTAAAGCTTATGTCTCTTAACATTTTACTTTAATTCTAATGATGTCCTTAATTTTCTAACGAATAAATCATAATTTTAAAATTATTTATCAAGTAATTTTTCAAACACTTAATGAGAATTTAAATTCACTCCAAACAATATTAAATAATACTCCAGACAATTATATTCCAATTACATTTTATTTAGTTAAACTATTTAACAAATCTCAATTCATTCTCATACCTCCTTTTGGCCCATTCTCAATAATAAATTATAGTAAATCATATCAACCATTCTTACTTTTCCTTTAGACTTAATAAAATATTATATAAGCATCCTATGTAATCATTTTTCCTATTTTAGCATTTTTAAAATTTCAATCTATAACTCAAGCTAACTTACAAATACTCCTCCAAATTATAACATGGAAGCTTAACAACATTCAATCCACTACATTCTTCTTTCACACATTTTTACAAATATTTTGATGGCATTTATCATTAACAAAATTATGAGATGAGCAATTTCAACAACTTCCAAACTTTTAATTCCATAACCAAAATTGATTCAACATCACAGTAGAATAATATCCAACATTAACCAAAACACATACCTCCACTACTACAAAAAGACATTTCTACTACCCTAAATCATGTCCTATTTTAAAAATTGAACTTAGAAAGAACACAATCCACGTCATGTAAGCAAAAAGAGGACATGGATTGAAAAAAATATTTTAAAAAAAGATTAATAAGCCATGTCCCTTTACAGCTTGGGGGGACATGGTTTTATTAGAATCCACGTCCCCCACCTCATAAGGGATGTGGATTCTGAAGAAGCTATGTCCCCTCCTCTTGATGGACGTGGCTTATAACTGAGCCACCTGGCTTCTAACAAGAAGCCACATCCCTTAAAGGGGAAGGGGATGTGGATTCTCAAATCCACATCCCCTTCCTCTTTAAAGGATGTGGCTTCTCCATTCACCCTTAATTTTTAAGCCCCACACCAGCCTTTAGTTTTTCAAAACAAGACTCAAAGTTTGCTATGCTTGCTCTCATCTCCAATCAATCTCATCTCTGTGTCTGCTACTCAGCCAAGCTTCTCGACCTCTCAGTGACTCTCATCTCTCTTAGCTTCTCAGCCACTCGGTACTTCTCATCTCTCTCAACTTCTCAGCTAGGAACAGCTACTCTGCCTCTTATCTCTCTCAGCTCCACAATTTGTAACTCGTATCTAGTAGCAGCTCTCTACCTCTCGTGTCTCTCATTTTCATCCTCATCTCTTAAAGCTTAGCTTAGTTCAGTGTATCTTAGCTACTCTGTGTCAACAAAAGCTCAGCCACTCAAAGCCTAGCCCTAACTTAGTGTCACGTCCTGCTACCCATCTCCTCTTCTCTTCTCTTCTCTACTCTACTAAACAACAAAGCCCCAAGTACTGCTTCTTTCTTTCTTTGTTTTTTTTATTTGAAGCTATCTCCATTATGTCTTTCCAATTTATTTTCCCACATTGTAAAGAGTTTGAAATTGTTGGCTGTGAAGAGTTTGGAATTATGTTTGAGATACTTTGCAATCTCCATTGTGGTATTTTTTTTTTTTTTGGTTTGAACAATGCATATCCAATCTAATTAGAATAAAGGACTAATCTATCATGTGTTGTTAGGTTTAATTATGATATGCTAAATTTACTTATCTTTTATGTACAGTGAAGTTAATATAATATACTATTTAAAATGTGTATATTGATAGTGAGGAATGAAATAATAGAAATAGTTAAGGACTAAAAACAAAACCTAATTAAAGTTAAAAAAAACCTTGGATGAAAGATAAAAATAATAGACGGAGTAGCATAAAATTGAAAGTTTAGTGATTTAATTTGTGTTTTTTTGGAGAGGTGAAGAGTTTGATAAAAACATCCAATCCAATTAGAATATATGTAATAATCCAAAATTTTTAAATAAAATTAAAATATAAAATAATATTTTTAATTGTATTTATATTAATTTAAAAAAAATTATTTGTATTAGGAAAGAACGTTGGTTTGGTGGAATTTCATTGATAATTAATATACATCAGGTATAAGATCCACAAGGTCAGATTACTCTTTCAAAAAGAAAGATTTTTTTCTATATGTCGGTTTCAGTTGCAAATTTACTATTTTGACTTCAAAAGCAATCAGATTTTTTCTCTTTCCTGGACCATTTTCTTTTTGTTTTCATTAGTCCCTCAGAATAAAAAACAGAAGATAGAGATGTGAGAGAGAGTGAGATCCAGATTTGAGCCTTGATTCTTCTCTTTGCTTGGCTTTCCTCCTTCGCTGGTGAGTGGTGTATCATCTTCCGCCGCTGCAAGATGTCCCGACAAAGTGACTATCAGCCTTCTCCCCTGTTGTGTCAGCTAAGAAACTGCCCTTGTTGACGGTGGGTGTCGGATCCTTCTCCCTCCTCTGTTCTTAGTGTCACCGGCGTGGGTGGCAAGGATTCGACTTGCCACCGCCTTCCTCTACCTACACTTCACATCGTTCAGGTTTTTATGCCGTCTCCTTCTGCTTTTCTTCACTGAACGCTGTAACAGATCAAAGACTGTTCCTCTTTTCCTCACCGACGTCGATTGCGTGGGGTAGAGCTGATCCTTTCTTCTATCCGTGCACTACTGTTGGTATTGCCATTGAGTCCCTCATTCATCGTCTTCCTCTATTTCAAGTGTGTATGAGCTTCTTCCTTCTTGTTTGTTGTCTTTGTACGTGTGATTCAATGATGAAGATTGTGATATTTTTTTTCTTTTATTCTGTTATGCTGTGCTGGTATGCTCAATTAGAGAAGGAGGGATTCGGGCAAGTTGAAATTTGTAGATTATTGGAGCTAAATGAAGTAGTCTAGATTTGAATTTTAACTAGCTTATTTTGATTTGGTTAAAAGAATGAAACTTACGAAGCATAATTAATCTAAATATTAATATGGGGAAATTTTGGAAAGGAAATTAAGCAAGAGGCTTGGTATTTATTTAAAGTTTGATTTACATGAGATGTTTGATAAATGGAGAATTTTGCTTGAGTATGCATCCATAACATTGCTATTGGTTTGGGCATTATTTATTCATAAAAAATAAACTGATTTTTTTGAAGGAATATATTTAAGAAGTTATTGAGGTCTAATTTGAGTTTTAGATTCTTGAGGGTTTTGTCGCGGATAATCTGTAAGATATGTTAACGTTTTGGAAGTTATATTTGGATGTTGGAAATTGTTGGGCAAGAGAATTAAAGATTACAAAGTTTTATTGTATAGTTTAGAATGTTACACATTAGATGTAGGGCAGAAAGCTTAAGAAGTGATTAAATTTTAATTGAGTAGTTAACTTTAGCTTAAGTGTTTTGAAGAAACTTTTATGTATGAATTGTGGTCCAAAAAAAAACTTCAAAGTTATTATAATTAATTTTGGTTGAGTAGGCTCTCTTGGAAAGGAAATTGTTGATTCAAAAGTAAAGTACATTAAGATCTTATTATGTTTTATAGGGTGTTTGTAAGATAGGTAGCTCGATTAGAGTATAAGAAGTGAGTTTTGAGCATTGAATGTATTACAGGTAAGTGAATAACGTCCCAATCAATTTATATATTTGAAAATTTCCTTTTATCAACTATTATTTTCAATAATTTAAAGTCATTAATATATGCCACTCTAGCATTGATTAATGTTGTTGATTAAGTTTCTTTAGCTCTTGAAGTTTTTATGATTTATACTTATAAGATTGGCAGAAATGCTTTTATAAATTCTAGTACTCTTTTATTCAATAAAGACAATCATGGAAATGGGTGAAGAAATTTATGGAACGTTAGTTGTGGATCTTCATATTTTAAAGGATTGATATTTTAAACAGTTCATGCGAGTTTGATATTGAGAAGAGAAAAGTTTATTTTGAAAGTGATGATTTTCTCGCATGTTTGAAAATGAATTTCAAGGAGACTTTATATAGAACACTGGTTGCTAACAGCAGTTCCGTTACCCCTTGACACACCATGGTACACCTAGCTAGCAGGTTGTTTATAGGAGGTGCTAGCTCGGTGCGATAACCAACACACGTGGAACGGAGGGATGGTTAATCGTGAGCATCGTACTCACGTTTAATTTTGTGGCTCCGAGCCACGTTTAGTTAACATTACCCTCGTGGATTGTGTGTCCACGTTTGTTTCGTGGCTTTGGCCGCGTTTGGTTACTTACCCGCGTGAATTGTGTGTCCACGTTTGTATTCATGGCATAAGCCGCATTTGATTTATTTACTCTCATGGATTGTGTGTCCACATTTGTTTATTATTCTGATAAGTCCTTAAAATTGTGAATTTGATTATTTGGTAATTTTATATTCCATTGATTTTTATTTAGTAAACTATTTACAAATATTTATATTATTTATGTGCTTTTTTGAAATCAAGTGATAATAACATTTGTTATGATAGTTTAATGATTTAAGATTTTATTTAAAATTTCATAGAACCATTTTATTTTGAAGTTTATTAAATTTTTATGGAAATTGTTATCTATTCAACTTACATAATTATTTCAAACCTTTCTTTTTATTCATATTTAATTATTTATTGTTGGGACGTTATTCACTGGAAAGTATTTTATTTGGCCTCAGATACCATAGTTGATTTGGTACTCATTGCTGATCTCTGATGGGCTTGTTGCTAAATTGACTAGAAGATTACTTTTGAAAATATCATCTTATTCATGTAAAATTCGAAAACTTATGTAGGATCTTTTGGAAGTCTAATTTAGAGTGATCCACATCAACTATAGTTAGGGTCCTAATTTTTTATGTTAATTACTTGCTACTGAGAAGCAAAGCGCTATATTGTTGGATATATGATGTAAACTTTCTGTTGTAGAAATTTCAGAGGACTCTACTTTTAAGGGAGGTGCTGCAGAAATTAAAAAAAGAAGTTTGATATTTTGATTTAGGTGGAAAGTAAAATTTGATATATTAATTCAGAACTTTTCTTAATTGAAGCTTTAGGGGATGTGAATTTGTACATATATCGTATGTTGGTCATGTTAAAATTTTAGGACGTGACAATATATATATTAGATTTTTAGGAGACTCTACTGATTTTTTTATTTAGAAATTGAACTTGGATAAGCTTAATGTTTGATGTTTTCTAGCTTTAATAGGTAAATATTTATTTAACTGCTTATTGTTGATTCTATTGATTTTTTATTGTCATAATTTTAGGATGTTCAATCTTTAAGGGAAGACCTTGTTATTTTTTTTTTTAAATGAGTCTAATTGAAGTACAAGTAAGATAGTGAATTGTTAATTTGATAGACTTTGTGATGATTTATTAGATAAAAATAGAATGGATTTTAGTTGGATGAATGTTAGTGGAATGACTAAGAAGTATGAGAATGGTGTGTATCAGTTATTTGAATTTGCTAGGAAAAATGTTCCTAGCAAAAATAAAAAGTATTATTGTCCTTATGTCAATTGCATGAATAACATTGAATTGGATATTGATGAAATAAAAGAGCATTTAATTTGTGATTGGATAAATTTGAGGTATACAAGATAGGTATGGCATGGGGAGGCAGGAACAACTTCTATATCACAAAATGAGTGAATTGTGAAAGACTGGGATGATAGAATAGAGGATATGATTCGTGATGTTAGGATGGTATCATTTGCACAATCACATGCATATGACAATTTGTGTAGTGATGCAAAGAAACCCTTATACTCAAGGTGTACTAATTTTATGCTCTTAACAATTGTGTTGGGATTGATTAATTTAAAGTCAAGAAGTGGGTAGACTAATTCGAGTTCTATAGAGTTACTTGAATTCTTGAGTAAAATGCTTCCAGCCTATAATTTGCTTCTAAAACGTATGCATGAGGCAAAGAAAATCCTGTGTCCAATGGGTATGGATTATAAAAGGATACATGCTTGTCCTAATAACTGCATACTATATAGAAATGATATGAAGGGCTACACAAGTGTCCAAAATGTGGGACTTTATAGTACAAAGTGAAGAAGGATGATGATGTTGATCATGGTGATGAGATCATAATTAGAGGGCCTCTTATGAAGGTGATGTGGTATCTTCATATAATACCACAGTTTCAATGTGTGTTTGCTAATCTAATAGAAGCAAAGAATTTGTGGTGGCATTTTGATGAGAAAATATTTGATGGGAAACTTCAATACTCGGCTAATTCTCCTCAATGGAAGACAATAGGTTGCATGTTTGCTTAATTTGGAAGTGATTTGAGAAACCTTCGGCTTGGACTTTGTATGGATGGAATAAACTCATATGGCAATCTTAGTAGCACACATAGTGCATGGCTAGTTTTGTTAGTTATTTACAACCTACCTCTTTGGTTATGTATGAAGAGTAAGTACATAATGTTGTCTTTGATAATTTCAGGACCAAAACAGCTAGGAAACAATATTAATATTTACTTAGAGCCTTTGATTGAGGACTTGAAAATGTTATGGGAGGAAGGTATAGATGTATTTGATGCTTACAAGTAAGAGCACTTCAAGTTACGTGCCATGATTTTTGTAACAATAAATGACTTCCCTGTATATAGAAACTTGTCAGGATATAGTTAAAGGCCATAATGCATGTCCTATATGTGAAGAAGGTATACACTACTACCAACTTAAGCATGAAAAGAAAACAAGCTATCTTAGTGTAATGACCTTAAATTTTAAATTAAATTAAATTAAATTTTCTTCCAATTGATATTTTATTTAAATTAGTTTTATAGTAAGTGGAGAGTCATTGTTTAAGTGAAACTTATACTAGTAACTTTTTTGAAGGTCTAGAGTTCAAATTCTATTAAGCAAAAGTTTGATTTTGTTTTGTTTAAATTATAGAAAAATTGTGTCCTTTATTGTAATTTTCCTCGTGCCTTTCTTGTAATTTTCCTAAATTATTTTTGGTTCAGATTTTTTTCTTCTTCACGCCTAAAGAACAGAGTATCATTTCCATTTCCTTCTCTTCACCGACATGAACTCTCTCTCTGTCTCTCTATTTCTCTTCGATCTTTCTAGCGAGCTCACACTATTATGACTCTATTCATCATTCTTCCTCCTTCCTCCTTCCGCCAGCGTCCTCTTCAATCTCCAACACTACAGCTTCGGTCTCACCTCTTTGCTCTGAAATTTTCAATGATGTAGTGTGAGTTGTGTGCGCTTCATCATCCCTTTCTCCTCATCTGCTGCTCGTGAATCCATTAGTGGTCTTCAACTCCCTTTTTTGCAGCTGTGCTTTTACAGACGATGTGTTTAAAATGTGAGATTTCTTCCTTCGTCATCATCCCTTGTCTCCTTTCGGCTCTGTGGTCGATGGAGGTGTCTGTTGTGCGCCTTCAGTCTTCATCTCTTCATCCTTTCTCAGCTGTAAGTATCACAGGGGTTTATGTGGTAAGCTCAATCTCTCCTCTTCCTCTGGCTTCCGATGTCGTTCTTTATTTTCTAATTCTGGTTGTCGAAATTTTTTTTTAGGATATTGAGGTGCTGTTTGGCTTATGTTGGGTGTTACTTTATTTTGATATTGAGCTGAATCTGGGTTGTAGAATTAAATACTTGAAGTTATTAGAAGATTTGAATGTTGATTTCATGATTTAGCTCATGGCATGAACTTAAGATATTTGTGAAAATGCTTAAAAGAATGTTGTTAAATTGGCATAATATAGCTTTGAAGGATAATATGTACGGTGACTTGAGCTATTGCTTGGGATTTTAAAATAGCAAAGGAGAAAGAATTACATCTGATGCTTGTATAGTACTTTATTAAATCTAAATGAAGGATAAGAATAGTTGATATGGTCTATTATAATTTATGATTGAAGATAACAAAGAGGCATGAGGATGGATTAAGATTTGTCAAATAATTTAATTGACTCAAGTATAATTAGAACTCAAATGAAGATAGGTCTCTCTTAATTACTGCTTGCAAATTGGTTATTGGTATATTGTGAAGCATGAAGTTACATATGATTTGGTTTATATTATGTTTTAAGGTATTTGAACGTAAGAGTTATTGGAAATATGTTTATTTAATTTTCATAATAGGACCTAGAGGAACTATAAATGTTACTTGATGAAATATATGTCTTTACATACAATTTGTAAATTTTAAACTACACATGGGAATTTTATAGCATCTAAAGTGAAATTGTTAAACTACATGATAACTAAGATTTTTGTTAAGTTTGGAATAAGAGCTGAGTTAATTATTACAGTTGAATGTTGCTAAGTATTGTTGGACTACTTGATAAAACTTGCTGGAGGGTTCAGTTATAGTTTAAGGGGTTAATGAGAAATTTAGAGAATTATTGAAGAGCTTGAATGTTAATTTTACTTGCCTATATTAAAAAAAAAGAGAGAGAAAATCATAATGATACAAAGATTATTGGTTTATGTGCTAGATCATTTGCGGTATCACTAAAGTAAATGAGAACTTGAGGAGGTCAAACTGTAAAATTCCTGAAAACCCTCAGGTGAGTGGGTAGAATTTCGGGTAAATTTCTAGTAGTGTTTATAAAATCCCTTTATTTAAATTTTACTATTATTCTTTTATAAATTGTATAAATATCCTTATTAATCCTATTTTTCTACTAATTGTCTTATTGACGAAAATATTTTCATCTTATTAATGATTTATATTGTTGATAAGTAATGATTGAAAAGGATAAATAATAAATGGTATTATTTCTCAAAAGTAGTTTAATTACTTAATTCTATTTTGATATAAAAATGTTTATGTAATGATTCGTGTATTAAGAAAGTGATAATGAATTTGGACAATGCAAAGAGATAGTTGAATAGTGTTTGAAAGTGAAAATTTTGAAATTATTTTTCTTGCTCCTTCCACGTTTGATTTTACTAAGGGGGATTGAATTCAGAATGCTGGATGCTAACGGCAGTTCTGTTAGCCCTTAGTGCGCCATGGTACACCTAGCTAACATGGTGTTTATAGGAGGTGCTAGCCCCATGCGATGGCCAATGCACATGGAATAGAGGGACGATAATTCATGAGTATCGCACTTACGCTTGTTTTCGTGGGCTTCATGCCTGCGCTTGATTCGTGGCTCTTGTCGCGCTTGTTTTGTGGCTTTCAGCTGCGCTTGACTAGTTACTTACCCTCGTGGACTGTGTGTCCACACTTGATTGGTTATTTGCCCTCGTGGACTGTGTGTTCACGTTTGTTATTCGTTCTGATAAAGCCCTCTTAGATTTAAATTAAATTTTATCATTTTTAGATTGATTCTCCAAAAGCATTTTATTGAATTACACTATTATTGAAATTTTTATTTATTTTATAAGCAATATAAATTTTAATACATTTATATGATTCTATTAGCATTGTTAAATTTCATGGTTATGTTGTTGAGAAAACTTGTTATTTATTGCTAATTAAACTATGTTTAATTATTTCATCCAATTGTTCTCCAATTAAGTTTGTTAGTCACTATTTTCATAAATTCCTATTATTTATTTATAATTTTGATTGGAATACTACTCACCAGAAATTATTTGGTCTCAGATATTATAACTAAACCTGCACCTCTTGTGGACTATTGAGGAACCCTACTGTTTTTGGAAGGAGAAAGTGCATTGTGAATATCCCTTTTTGGTAAAATTTTGTAGTACATAATTGTACATTAGTGCTCCACGTGTATAATAGTTAAATCTTAATTTTATTTTGTTGATATATAATCTGCTAGTGTGGAGTTAAGCTCCTCTATTGAATTGGCTGACAAGTTTTGTTATTGAAAAATTTTAGAAGGTCTAATTTACAGGAAAGACTTTGTAAAAATTTCTACAAAATATTTAATTTTTTTAACTATGTAATTATATATATAAATTAGTTATCAATATTTTAGCTTAATCTCATATGATTAAGGCTTATCTCACATTCCATGCCAGTCATACCCTTTGTACCGGGGTGTGACACTTAGTCACCAATGATTTCTTGATCGGTATCATCCTTATCGTTGGTTAAAGAAGACTTTTAATGGCTCACAGGAGTACGAAATGGCTATAAAGGCCTTAACTAGAGACCAAGTTTATCAGCATGTCAAAGGAATTAATGTCATTTTTGGTAAGAATAAAAGGAATGCAAGTGAGAAGAATCTATGGAAAAAAGAGGTCTATTTTTTTTATCTTCTATATTAGCGGAGTTTAGATGTGAGGCACAGTTTTAATGTGATACATGTGGAGAAAAATGTGTGTGATAGTCTTATTGGTACGCTTTTATACATAAGTGGCAAGACTAAGGATGGAATAAATGCCGGACTTGACTTAGTTGAAATGGGAACAAGAAAACGCTTACATGCACAACAAAAAGAGGGGAAGAAAGCTTATTTACCCATAGTAGTGCACACGTTATCTAAAGAGGAGAAAAGAAGTTTATGTGGATGTTTGCATGCTATTAAAGTGCCATAAGGGTATTCTTCTAATGTTAGAAGACTTGTCTCAATGAGTGATTTGAAGTTACTAGACATGAAGTCTCATGACTGCCATGTGTTGGTGTAATGACTTTTACCAATGGCTATTTGAGGGATTGTGAAAGATGATGTGAGATACATGATAACTAGATTGTGTATGTTCTTTAATGCTATATACAGCAAAGTCATAGATCCTGACAAGTTGAATGAATTAGAAAATAAGGGTTACATTATTTTATGTCAATTAGAAAAGCACTTTGCTCCAGTATTTTTTGACATTATAGTGCATTTAATAATTCATTTTTTTTAGAAAAGTAAGACTTTATGATCTTATTTATCTTACTTGGATGTACCCATTCGAGCGATACATGAAAGTCCTAAAAGGGTATTCTAAGAACCCATACAGGCCTAAAGCATCAATTGTTGAAAGATATATGGTGGAAGAGGCTGTTGAATTTTGTACTACATATCTAAAAGGATTGAAGGCTGTTAGAGTCCCTCAAACTTGGTATGAGGGGACAAGACTTGTTGTAAGGGAACACGAGGGGTCAGAGTGAAGTGCATTTCTCATAAAGAAGTCTTGCAAGCTTGAATGAAGAAGTTCAACCTTATTAAGATGCTCATAAAAAGTTGTTGAAAGACAAATACCTAAGAAAGTATGAAATGCAACTGGCTAATGAGCACAATAAGACTTTCAAAAAATGGTTCAAGGAAAATGTTATGAATGGGACTGGTGTGTCTGATACAATAATATGGTTAGCTAAGGGACCTTGTTTTGAGGTCATGTGTTATGATAGGTATAATATAAATGGATATTCCTTCTATATAAAAGCCTAATATGATAAAAGTACCATGCAAAATAGTAAGGTAATATTAGAAGTTGAAGCCCAGTATGTTTTCAATTCAAAAGATAATAACCCATTATTAGCTTACACGAACTATTATGGAGTAGTTGATGAGATATGGGAGGTGAATTACACTAAATTCAAAATACCTATTTTCAAATGCAAGTGGGTTCACTTTAATGCTATTGAAGTAGATAAGGAATTTGGGTTTATTTCAATTGATCTCAATAGGCTTGGTTTTAAAGAGGAGCCCTTCATTTTAGCAAGTTAGGTAAAACAAGTTTTTTACATCATTCATCTAGGAAATAAATAGCATTCTATTGTACTACAAGGTAAAAAAATAAATTATTAACATGGAGAATGATGACTCAACTTTTAACTTTGATGAAACCCCACCTTTTACTACAAATCTAACTATATCAACTGAAGCAGATTTGGTTAATGACGAATATGCAATTAGAGATGATTATTGTGAAGGAATTTGGGACAATGAATAAAGTAAGAATTAATTAGTAAAATATTAAATTAATTGATTCTTTATATTCATATTTTTGTTTAATTTATTTATTTCTATATATTTAATTATAATGCAAGTTACTTGCCTATATTATTTTTTATCTTAACAGGTACATAAAGGGTTTTACTGAAGATGTAGTTGACACGTCTAGTGCAACTTACAAGAAAAGAGGTAGAGGAAGTACAAAATTGAAGGAGATGGCACTACATCAGGGTACTGCAAGGAGAGTGCATTCAGAGTTTAGTGGTGGTAAAAGACCACTTGGTTTAGAAGGAGATAAGTTTGTAAGTTACATAGGTCTCATAGCTCGGAGTAAGGTTAGGATCTTGTATCATAATTGGCAAGAAGTACCAAAAGCTATGAAGGACATGATTTGGAGTGATATTTTGGTATGCATATTTTTTTGCTTTTTTCTATTGTTTTAATTATATTAGATACCTCTTACTTTATAATTATGACACATTGCGGTTTACTTATGATATCCCTCTTACTGATGTGATGAAGAGGTATTGGCTTTAACAAGAATGTGATTGGTGGAAAGATTTCAAGTCATCACTTTCCAGGGAATACATTTGAGGAGCAAAGAAGAAGAACAATTCATGTTTGGAATATAATTTCATTGATGAAGACACTTGGAGAGAATTTGTGAGGTCATAAGATGATCCTAAATTTTAGGTAAATTTTGATATAATTAATAACTTAGTTTATTTTTGTTTAGTTTACAACTGACTTACTTTATTTTTATTTCATTATAGGAATTAAGTGCTACAAAAAAGAGAGACCATTCAAAAATAAATATCAATATGTCTCGGGAGGGATATAGGAAGCTGGACCAAAAACTTAGGGAAGTTGATTTGAAGCAATTGGAGGAAGCTGCAAGATCTGACCCCAGTATTGTTGTTCATCCCCTAGCTCCTCCAACTCGTCGAAGAAAATGGAAAGAAGCGAAAATTAAGAAAGGCCAATAAATTACTCCGAAGGTTGCTAAAGTTGCTTAACGAATTGCAAGTAATTATACTAAACGGATTAAATTTTAAATTTTGTATCTTTTAAGATAAATTCATTAATTATATATTGCAGGATTCACTTGAGGAACAAGCTTCCCAAGGTTCATTTCAATCTACTAGAAGAATGGATATCTTGGCATCAGTAATTAGAACGCCAGATTATTCTGTTCATGTTAGGGGGTAGGAAAATCAGTTGGTCTAAAGGAGTATTTCAGACCAATTTCGTGAGGCTCATCAAGAGTTGTATCAAGAGCTGAGCTTGATGACCTTCTAGTAAAGGTTAGAGATGAATGTGCTTGAAAGTATGAGCAGGATAATTTATTGCTCTGTGAGCAGATTCTTCAAGAGGTTAGATCCATGGTCACCAATATAGGAACCACACAAGATACTGGGCAAGGAATTGGGCAGCAGGAACTCTAGGTTTTCATTACTTTTAATTAGTTTAATTATTCAATTTTGTTTATTTTATTTTATTTTCTTTCATTGTGTTTACTTATTTCTCTAGACTTCTCCCATGCTTTAAAGCACCAAAGATAGCTGTAATTCACTAGAGATAGCACTACATGCCTCTAGTCCCTTAGTAGAAGAGGAACAAGTTTGTTTTCTTTATTTGGATAATCATTGAAGGCAGATTGTTGGTCCAGCACGGCTATATTTGCTCACAAAAACAATCCATAACATAAGTATTTTGGATGCTCAAGTGAAGGTGATAGTTTAGGTTGTTCTTGAGCCAAACATGAATATGCCATTCCCTAGCAATGAGGTTGAAAAATTAGGAGAAGAATTGAGACAATTCATTTTATGGCCTAAAGACTCGTTGACATAGAGATAACAACTTCAATAGTAGAAAAACTCTTCATTATTCTTTGATTTTCTCTTTTAATTATTTATATAACTTTTATTCATTTCATCTTTTATTAGAATATTGATAATGCTGAGGGCTACTCTACTCTATTACAATTACATGAATTTTTTAAGGCAATGACAAAGCCTCTCAATTTGGCAATGCCTAAAGAAATTGTGGGTATAGACAAGTCATATCCTTTTACAATGAAAAAGAAAGACATCTTGGAATTCTCATTGATTAGGGAGTTGGATATCTCATGGATTATGTTATCTATCTTGTAATTTTATTACCTTTATTCTATCTCATTTTTATTTATTTTAATTTATATACAATAATTTTTGTGTCCTTCTATTAATAGGTTTCTTAGTAATCTTTGTACTGGACCACGGAAAGATCAATTTGGATTTTTGTATCCAGCTTTTCTGACATCGGCTTATAATGGTATCAATGATAGAATGAGATACGTGGGCAATACTATTTCAGAAACAAAATTGCCACGTTATTTGGCTCCAATTCTTGAAGGGCAAGTTCTTTTATATTCATTTATATATATATATATATATAGTTTGATAATTTTTTTATGCTTTCATGTATTGATTTCTTTTATCTCTTTATAGTTCCTATTGGTCCCTTTGTGTTATATGCCCATATTTGCATGAGATCTATTAGTTTTTTTCCTTGGGCAAGCAATCGAGTGCTGAAACTAAAAATATATTCAACACGTAAGTTAAGATTATTTTTATAAAATATTAGATATTTATTTTTTTTAATACTTTATATTTTATTTAAATTTCATTATAGAGCATTGAAGATATATTATATGATCGAGGGAAAGTGTCACCCAGCTAAAAATATATCTAAAAAATATTCCTCACCGACTTAGATTTTTCCAAACGTAAGTAATTTCAATTCAATACCTTTTATCCATAACTTTTTTATATATATTTTTGTTTATACTTATTGTTTGATTCTTAATTTTTAGTGTCATCACTAGATAGGGAGTACAGAATGTTAATATTATATTATTCATTATATGTATGAGATTATTCAATCTGAAACTAACAAAAATTTACACATGGTAAGTTACATTATTATTTATTTTGATAATATTAGTTTTGTGAGGCTTTAGAATTTGGATATTTAATGAACATCCAATAAAAATTTGCAGCTTTTTGATGATGAGTACCCCTATACCAGTGAAGACATAACTGATGTTTGAAATAATTTAATAGGTTATCTTCTTTAAGAGCTATTTACATAGTAATTTTATAGTTTGTCCATTAAGTTAGATAGAAGGATATAAACCCTAATGTGTTCAAGTAGTTTGTTGGAATTTGATTGTAAATATTGACACTTGAATAGATGACAATAGTTTTGTTATTCCAATATATTTGGTATATTTTTTTTATGATAGTTTATGAATGACTGTAAATGAGTTGCTATTTACTAGACTTTTGTTGTATGAATTGGCTGTTCCTATGGCATACTTTGACAAATTCTGTTTTGGTTGTCAAGCAAATGTAAATTGTATATAAAAAAATTACAAAAACCACGTCACATTATTAAAAGAGGGATGTAAGAAAGAACAAGCAAAACCACATCCCTTAATTGGTGGAGGGGAAGTGGGTTCTTAACAAACCACGTTCCCTATTATAAAGGGGGACGTGGTTTCTCAAAGATACCACTTCCCCATTATTATTGAGGGATGTGGTCCCTTTTCGGGAATGACAAACCACATCCCCCTTTATAGAGAGGGACGTGGTTTCTTAGACAAACCACTTTTCCCTTATTAATGAGGGATGTGGTTTCTCTATTGTGTACTGCATAGGGAAACCATGTCCCCCTTACTAGGGAGGATGTGGTTTATTTATGAACCACGTCCAAATCTTATAAAAGGGGATGTGATTTATATGGAGACCATGTCTCTATCTAGTAAAATGGGAACATGGATTATGTAGAAACTACCTCCCTTAATATTAAAAGGGACGTGGTTTATTCTTTTCCACATGACAGACCTTACTAGGGAGGATGTAGTTTATTTATGAACCACGTCCAAATCTTATAAAAGGGGACGTGGTTTATATGGAAACCATGTCTCTATCTAGTAAAATGGGAACATCAATTATGTAGAAACTACTTCCCTTAGTATTAAAAGGGATGTGGTTTATTCTTTTCCACATCACAGATACTTGTGACGTGGATAAGCTAGTATTTTAAGTCGCCCAATATGATGTCCCCTTCAGTTGTGATGTGAAAAGGCCTAAAAATGTGACATGAAAAGTTTATTTTGTAGTAGTGCTCAATTCTTTCTAAAACTTCATAATAATGGCAATGAGGAATAAAGATGTCATAATTCAACTAGAAAAGGGAGAGAATGATTCATTATTGTTATAGAACTCCTAGAGGAAGGAGAAATGAACAACAACTCACCTCCAATGAAACTACAGTGGCAACACTTATAAATCAAACATGCCAGATGCTAAAGGAAAAAGAAGAGCCTCGAGCTGCTACACACATAAAAAGAAGAATCAACAATTACTCACCAGCAAAAGAGAGAAACTGAGCTATCATACATGCATGAAACTTCCAGCTATTGAGGGGAAGAAAAGAAAAGAAAAAAGAACATGCATGCACACACATCAATCAGCCACAAGATAGCAAAAACAAGGAAGAGATCCAACTAATCAATCTAATAGAACGGACGAGCAGCAGGGAGGAAAGGAAAGCATGAATTTCTAGCAGTGGGGAGACAAACACACATTCGGCAAGACTGAAACCAATGTGACAAGGAAGAAGAAAGACAACAAAAAAACCCACACCTTTCTCTCACTATGCTATGTGTTTTCACCAACAAGAAAGAAGGAAGAATATAAGATATGAAACTGGGTGGGAAAATTACAAGAAAAAACCCTATCAAATTTTATTATTATTATTATTATTATTATTATTATTATTATTGTTATTATTATTATATGAGGCAAAGGTACTTTAATACTTCTCTATATAAAAGAAAATAAACTAATATTTGACTTAAATAAGATCTAAACTCTAAATTTCTATATAAGTAACCAGTATAAGTTTTACTAGGCCACTACTCTTCATTTGTCCTAAAATTAAAATAAATAAATTAAATATTAATTAAAAGAAAATTTATTTAATTCAAAAATTTGAATCATTACAATTACTTTAGTAGGTGCAATAATGACCGATCTATCAAATCCTTTAAATGTTGAATGTTTAATTGACACCTAAGCAAAAGTTAACCATTTTTCATTGATGTGGATAAAAAGTATTCACAGGTGGAATTATATGGAGATTGATCAGTCATTGTATGAATACCAAGTGAGAAAATGTCATTTTGACCGAAAAACAAGTCGAATTGCTTACTACTTCACAACAGTGCCAAAAGCCAATTGTGGATTTCGAGCTTCATCATGAATGAAATTGCTTAAGATTGTACCAATGTTTTTAAGCTGGGTAGCATAAAAAATATGCATAGTCATGAAGGTGTTACAAGCAAAAACAACCTCTTTCATTAAGTACTTGCATTCTTTACGGTGAGCCATAACCTCTTCATTCTCAATCTTCAATTGCGTGCAACCTATCTCACAATGTTGAATCTTAGGTTTTGCATACAAAAAAGTGGAGAGGGAGGGAAGAAGGGGGTTGGACACATGGTAATAGAAGGAAACCATGTGGCACAGTGGTGCCTACAAAAATTAAGAGACACTGCAAGTATATGAGTTGCAATTGAAGCTTGCAGTAAATCAAGATTAATCCCTTAGAGAATTAATTAAAATGGTGACTAGGCATTAAATTTTCAAATTCATTTACATTAAGCTAATAAAACTTGAGATTGATTTTGAAACTATTAAAATAAAAATATTAAAAATGATCAAGTAAAATAACTTTCAATCCATAAACAAACTAAAGTCAACTAAGAGAAGATTGTTCTAGAGTCCTAATCCCCTATTTGCTTCCTAACACTCTCATTACCGCATTAATTGTCTTGAAACTCAATTTTGATAATCCGAGAATCTAAATTAATCAAAAGTATCTTCTAATTACTAAGGACCTTAATTAATTCAATTAAAGAAAAATAGTACCTTAATTAATTAATTGCATAAGAGACTCTAACCCATGAGGATTACCTAAGTCTATTAGATACATTCCTGTTCTAATGGCAAATTAGCTAAACTAATCTTAAGCTACTAGTCTTCAAAATCCAATTGGAGTTTTCTCTTCCAAGGTTTAACCCAAATGTCCAAATCTCACCTAGTAGTGGCCAAACACTAAACAAGAACAAGATAGCTCAAGAACAAGTAATCAAAACTTCATTTCTCAATAACTAAATAGTAAATTAAAGATTATTTACATATATAGGTTCATAATCATTTAGAATAAAAAGACTTAGCTATACATAGCTAATATGAACACGGTAGTAGCAAGGAAAACACTGATAAAATGAGGTAACATGAAGATTTGCTCCACTTCTTCTTGATCCCAAGCTTCAAGATTTCTCCTCTTGCTCTCTTAGGGGTTTTTCATGTTGCAGCAGCTAAAAGATTTGTCCTCTATTCTAGAAAAATGAGTTATGTAGTGTAATTTCACATAAAAAATGAAGCTGTGCATTTTTTGCATTATCGTCTAGTGCCATGGCACTCCTTCTGTAGTGCCATGACACCAGTGAGCAATTCTGAAGAAAATTATAATAGTATGCAAGAACTTTTGCTTTTGTACCTTGGATTGAAAACCACCTTTTTCTTGTCTGTGTTTCTCTTTCTTGATTTGATGTTGCCATGCCCAACCTATCCACAATTAATAAATATGAGTAAAATATTTGCTTATTTTAATTTTCATCATTTTAAATAATTTCCTTAAAAATATTATAATAAATCCACATGAGGCATTTAGTTAAATTCTCTTTATAAAAACAATAAAATATTTATCTTTTCCATTGATGACACCCAAAATATAACCAAAAACATGTCAATTATAGCACAAAAATAGGGAGTCATCACATAGATTTTGACAAATTGATCACTATTGCACCGACTAAAGTAACATTAAGGGTACTCTTGCCCTTTTCTCATTTTAGGCTATTGGGAGCTTCTAACTTACCTTTTCTTTAATTCATATCAACAAACATTGACAAGTAGACAGTATAGTTAATAGCAGAGTCAACATTTAATAGTGGAAACTAATAGACATTAGGGCAAATTAACGATTTCATTACTTTTGCACCAACTTTGGAAACATTATAGGTATTTTCCCCTTTTTTCTCTCTTCAAGCTACTAGATGCTCTTGGCTAATAATTTGGTGGGTATTTTTGCCCTTTTACCCCATATAAAATACCAATTACTTTTTCTGGCTAGAATATAAAAATACCAATTAAGAACTTAAGGGACTTGCTTTGCACTTTAAAATTTTTTGGGACTTTACTTAAATAAAATGATTTCTTTAAGTGTCATTCATCCTAATGAGCACAAAGTGCTCCAAATATATTATAATTAATATTTTTTATCTTAGTTGGAAAGTTGAGCAAGTGACAATTTAGTTCTAAATATTTGTTAATATGATCATTAGTTGGATAAAAAAGTTATAGAGAAGGACCTAAAAAATTTTAAAAACTTAATTAATATTAGTTTTTTAATATTTTTGTAATTTATTTATAAATATTATTATTATTATTTATTAATCTTCACACATAATTAACAAGTCATCTGTTTGAAAAGAAAAACAAGACATTTATAAATTTTTGTAAAACTACTTTGTGCTATTAATATTTGTTTTTCAAAAAAAAAATCCATCTATACATTTTGAACGATTTTTATCTTGTCTATCTAAACTTCATTCCTTCAAAATTTTACTCATTATTTTGAAATATCTTCTATACTTTAAACTCAGGCTATTATTTCAAAATTTATCCTAATGTTTTGAAGTGTCTCATCCATTCTCATTAAGCTTTCAATATTTGGAAGTTTTCTTCTAAAAGCTTCAAAATTTCTTCAAGAGAAAAATTTATCATGTTCTTGTGTTTTCTGATTTCCATCCCTATATTTTTTCCAATCAATCTGAACATACTCCTTATCAATACTAAACCTATTTATTTTCATGTTAACATCTCTTGACCTTTGGATTACACATTAAACAATGATCCATAAACTTCCTAAGGTTTAATATTTTGAGATCATCAAATATTTCATTTTTGCTTCAACAATAATAATGTTAGAACACTTAATGTAGTCTTGCTTTAAGCCCAAAACACATAACCTGAGCTAGAAAAACTTTTTCTTCCATCTTTTCCAGAAAACTTAACTTCATAATCAATGATAAAACATTAGGCAAAGCATCCACGTTCTAATTAATAAGAAACAAGTCTTCACAAAAACATTTATGAGTATAACGGATACTAAGCATGAAGACACATCACATGGGATTGTCCCTAATGGAAAACAAAGGAAAAA